GTAAGAAAGGTGGACACTGCACTGTCACTGGTGAGTTAGGTTCAGTTGGATACAGTCACAATATTAAGGTAGAACAGGTAATACAGATGAAATGTAGTGTGTCATTCCATGGCACTTTAAAACTACAGGGTTTTTTTCAAGAATAAATGCCATTGGTTTTATTTAATAAAACGTATTATCAGATTAAGACCCAGTATCAGTGAATGTCTGATATTAAAAGACTCAGAATGGTACATGAATAAAATCCTCACTGGTCAGGCACAACATTATGACTGCTGATGGTGACATGAGTAACACTGCTTATGCCATCATGGCAACTGTTAATGGGTGGGATGTATTTGGTGAAATGTGTTAGAAGCAGGAAATTTGCAAAAGCATGAGGACTTGTGTGAGTTTGACGAAGAACAGATTATGATGGCTAGTCAAATCGTTCAGAGCATCTTCTAAACTTCAGCTCTTCTGGGGTCTTCCCAGTCTGGAGTGGTTAGTATCTACCATAAATTGTCCAAAGAAGGAGCAATGCACCATTGATGGAGTTACTGATGTAAAGGTTGGGGGTGAAGGCAGACCCAGTTGATCCAATGCATCAAACATGCTGGTGCTAATAGAAAGGTGTCCAGATGCACATTGCATCACAGTTTTTTGAGGTCCTTTGTACATCTCTGAGAAAGGACCTGAAGCTGGTCTCCTTAAGTCATATGTGTTAGTTGAGAAAATAATTTTAACCCAGATAAAGCAAATGCCTTGAATAAGATCTAGGGTCAGTGTGATATTGACACTCAGGAAGACAAAGGGTTTCATTTATGCATGTCAGACACTTGAGGAATGTCTACATTTTGTCCTACACAGGCTTCTTTCTCAAATAGATAAACGCTCCAAAATGCACCAGTAAAAGTGTTGGATGTTTGACTCCAGCCATCAGTATGGGCAGAGCCGTTTGTGTTTGCAGAGCCCAGCACATGCTGCTGGTTGGTGCTCTGCTGAAGAGACACTCATTGTTATGCCAGCGTGTCACCCGACATGAGTTGTTGAATTTCACAACGTTAACCCCCATCTGTGCAGCAATTCAGATAATTCAGATCAACTACAACACATCATCCGCAAACCCCTTATCAATCCCATAAAGCAGATGCTGTCAGGGCTGCAGCTCATTACTCTTGGATTGTTCACATGGCTGCTGATGGGTTCTCTGATGGGAGATCTACAATATCAGCTGAGCCAAGCACTAATTAATCTGTGCTGACCTCGAGGACACCTGCACAGGAAAACACCAAGGACCAGAGAGGACAAGACATTTTCAGTATTAATTGCCAAACAACTGAGTTTCTGTCACATGATGGCATCAACTCTTCACATATAAGGCCAGCATGAGCAATGAGAAGCTAAAAAACAATTACTGCTCTTTCTTTGTAATTGTAGTTTGGTGATTTTTCTGATTCTGGTAACAAATTGTATACTACTCACAAAACGTTTAGGATATTTGGCTTTCAGGTGTACTTTATGGACAACATAAAAAATTCACGCTGCAGTGATATTACAATTATGAAAGTAGGGCATTTAAGTGGTGATTTCCTCATCTCAAACAACTTATTTAAACAAAAGCCAACAACAGTTGTGGATATACCCCAACAAAATTAGTCATTGTCTCAATAATGTGACGTCTCATGTTGTTCACAAGTCGACTTATTGTCTGCTGAGGCATGGCGTCCCACTCTTATTGAAGGACGACCCTCAGGTCATTCAGGTTCTGGGGTACAGATTTACAAGCCTCTAGACAGCGACTCAGCTGATCCCAGAGGTTTTCTATGGGATTCAGGTCTGAGGAAGTGTGGGTCACTCCAATCAAGGTACCCATTCAGCTGTTCCCTAATGATAAGACCTCGATGAGCTGGAGCATTGTCGTCCATGAAGATGAAATAAGGCCTGTGTTGTTAATCAGGGGCACATTGACTGGATTACTGATGTTATTCAGGAGGTATGGACTTGTCACTGTACCATTCAGAGTGTAGGACAGTTCTGTACTGACTAGACACACCTGCCCACACTAACACCACCACCACCAACGACTCATCTGGTGACAACAGTGGCTGATGCATAGCGCTTTCCCTGACGTCTCCAACATCTTTGGTGGCCAACTGGTCCCTCATCCAACGTAAGTGCTTCCTGGCCCATGCAAGAGAACGATGTCTGTGCCTGGTAATGTGATAAGGTACCCTGTCAGGTTGTCTTGCATACAGACCACGCTGATGTAAACGGTTTCTAATGGTCTGACGTGACACTTTGGTGCCTCTCACCTCCTTTAAATGTCCCTGGAGTTGAGTGGCATTCATCATCTGGGTCTGCAGGGCACTGTTCACAATGAAACGGTCATCAGTGTGGGATGTGGCCAAAGGATGTCCACTCCTATGCCTTTCTGTGACTCTTCCAATCTCTCTGTTGTGAGTAGTGTATTTTTACCCACAGGATATTAAAAGAATTTTGAAAATACTGCAAGCATACAGGCTAAAACCATAGCTTAATTCCGATTTAGAAAGATTTAGGTAAATAACAACAAGCCTTTTTCAGATCATCCTTTCATTCCGTGACATAAACGTGACAAAGCCTCAAGATCATCTGAAGTTTTGAACACTGAAGTCAACACTGTAATATTACATCCCTGATCCACCTTGGAAGGTTGTCACAAACCTGTAACCACTGTGAACTATAAGGGTTAAAATGGGATTGTAGAATGAGCATAACAAAGCAAAAGACAAAGCGAATGCAGCATGTGTAGCAGTAGCAGCTGATCAGCAGGATCTGATGGAGAAAATAACATGCTGAGAATGATGTGCAAAAACTTTGCTAGTATTTAAAACACTGAATGCATCTGGACAGGCTGCCTGCATGAGGATCTTGACACAACACTCTGTGCTGTGTGTGGGTTATCACACAGATGATTGCTGCAAGCTGTAGGCTTTTTCTGGTCAATGTAATTGACCAGAAAATGTCTTCATAAAATTCCTACAACATGAATTTGCTGTCAGGATGCAGCAGAGGGTTTAGGAAAACAAGTGTGGTTTCTTATTGCTTTGTCCCATGCTAGGGCTATGGTTAGAAGGGTCACTGGCATCAAGGTATGCAGAGGTTTTAAAAAGTGCTTAAAGTTTCTGTCAGGTTGTTTAAAGTCTTATTAAGATGTAAAAGAAAGTCCTAAAGTGACTTCTTTTCTCAGCCTGTGCAGTGCAGTCATTACACTGAAGGAAAGCCCCATTTACAAGACAGCCACATTCTGCAGTTTGGACATATTTCCAGTCACTAAATACATAATCTTGTGAATTTATAAACGTCTATATCTGTTAGCAATTCAACAAACGAGCTTAAAACTACAGTTGGTAAGCCATGAGCAACCTGTCTGCAGGTCTACCCAGGCCTGGCTAATTACCCAGCTAAAATATGCTGGTTACAGACCCATTCAGCAAATCAGAATATTGTTGAAAAGTTCATTTATTTCAGTGACTTAGCTCATTAAGCGAAACACATATAGATTTCCTGCACACTATCTGATGTTTTCAAGCCTTTATTTGTGTTAATTATGAGGGTTTTCTATTTACAGCTGAATGAAAATACAACATTTAAGAATAGAATATTACATCAGACCAGGCTTTTTAAAAAGTATGTTTTATAAATGCTCAAAGACTGTTATTTAAAAAATAACTCAATACTCAATTTTCAAAAAAATACTTAATATGACAAACAAGGCTCATTTGAACACATATGCTAATTATTTGAATATGACTGTAGACGAATTTTATAAAGAGCACAACAGCAAAACAGAACAAACAGTATAGCATTCTGTACTATAAGCAGATGAAAACTAACACTAAATTTAGCTAAATGATATAAATAAAAAGACAAATATTATTATAACTGCAATCATCAGTATGTCATATTGTAGCAGAAGAGGGAACAATTGTTGCCTTTTTGCAAAGACATTATTTTTCTTCTTTATGTTTGTGTAAATGCTACGTGCTATTTTTATTCAAGGTTGTCAGACAGTGAGAATCTGATGCCGGGTCAGAGAATAATCACAGTCTACAACAGAAGAGGAACATTACAACTGCACATAACAATTACAAAGAACAATAGGTTTTAAACTCACCATTCCAGTTTTGCTTATCAGGATGATGCTGTGGGGGTTGCAGTCCTTTGATCTTCCAGGTGCCTCTATCATTTCATCCACCTTTAATCTTTGTGGTGATAATGATGACAGTGGATGTAGTAATATCATGCAATGTGTCAACATGTCGGTGGACAGATTAGTACTGATCACCATCAGTAAACTGAGATTTCACATACAGATTGTTCTTCCCTGCTGAGCCACACACAAGAGCAGCATTAAATGAAAATTTGTGTCTTCAAAGGTTTCAAAAGTAATCCTCCCAGTAATGGATGACTAATTCAGGTAGTTGGTACATCAAAACTTCTGCATTGTAGCCGCAGAATGTTTCAGAATTTCATTAATCTCTTCTAAGCACTTTGTTTGCCAGTCAGCAAGGCAGCGCTTTGCCAAGGGATTCCCACTCTTTGAACTTGTTCGCATTGTGTCTTGCAATGTTTCTGCCACAAACTTCAAGTTGTACTGGGATTTTATTTCATAGACAAACACAAAGTGATGCATGATGGAAGTGGTTGAAAAAAACACATGGTTTTCTACTTTTTCACAATTAGGTATCTGAAAAGTGTGACATGACATTGGCCCCCTTTACAAAGAAAGTCCTAAACAAAATTCAGTGCCATCAGTTTTAATAGGAAGATAGATGGAGCTAGTTCTAGGATGATATCACATGCAGTCAAAGCTACAAGGTAATGGTTTAGATCAGGGCTTTCCAACTCCAGTGAGTTAGAATGTCATATTTGCTGTTCACTAATGGTTTTACTCGCACTAAAATTGAAATTTCTAAACAAGCAAAGGTTTTGTTTGTGTCACCCAAAATCCCAGTAAAATACATTGAAGTGGGCATGGCGTGGCTCAATGGTAGAGCAGGTGCACCATTTACAGAGGCTACAGCTCTCAATGCAACTGTCCAGGGTTTGATTCCCGGACCTGGGCCACTTACTGCATGTCTTCATCTTCTCAGGGCCTCAGGTTACTGATCAATAAACCCAGGTAGAGCCACAAAAGAATAAATCTTGTAGTTTGTAGTTGTGAAGTAAAAAACTTTAAGGGGTATGAACAGTAACAGTAGTGAAGTGGAAAATGTTATATGAGTTTGCTTTAAGTAGAAGTTGAAAAGTAGGCAGAGCAGCGGAGTCAATAAGATGTGGGCACGCTTTCGCTGTTGACCATAAACTCCTCTGTATACCAGCGTCTTGTTGAGTCAAAAAAATATGTAATGTTTGAAATTTAGGGTGTGGCTGTATTTCAGGGTATAGTACACTGAAAAAGTCCCACAGCTCGAAGGGCAAGAGCACAAAGTCTTGAAAAGACTAATGAGGCTTCCTGAGTGAAAACTTTGGGTCTCTCTGTCACTCTGTGGAAAGATGATTTCTCAACATAAACCAAGAACAATGAATGAAACAGTCATAATGGACCCTAAACCAACAACCTGAAAATTTTAGATCTCTATGTTCACGTCAGTGCTGAACTTGGAAAACGATTTAATTGCAAACTTGGTCTTTTTAAAATTTTTAAGCACAGCAGCTAAGCAGTAGAAGCAGAAGGTGAGATGAAAAGGAGCTGGTGCTATAGATCAGTGGCAGGAATGCGACCCCCGAGCACCTCACACCCTCCCACTCTGCTTCACTGACCATTGTCCCTTCCCTCTGTTTATTTGTTTCAGTATTTTTCCAGAAATGGTGCATTGTTTGACACGGCCAAACAGCACTGCAGAGTTTTAGTGTCAGAGCGTGTATGTGAGAGCTAAGAGCACGTGGACATGTGGTCGCATGCATAGGGGATGTGGGTGTGTGTGAGAAGGTGGTGGGGGAAGTTTTTTGCTGTAGGTATGAAACTCCGTGACGGAGACCAGTTGTCACCTCTGACATGCAGGAAATGAGAAAAGCTGACTCCTCAACAAAATAGAAAGTTGTAGGTAAAATTATTTTATCCAGCCTCGTGAGTTGTTGGCTTTGGTTTTTAAAAGAAACTTGATCCTTCAAGTGAAACTTGTTGAAAAATAAAATGTAAAACATGTTTTAGTTGCAGATAGAGAAGCTCCGATCTATTTGTTTTTTGTAAAGCTTGGACCTACCAATACCAACTCTAGCCAATTCCAATTTCTCGTTAAGAATTATTGCACAGAAACATGTAAGAAGCGCTGTGAAAAATCTTTTCTAGCCTTCCTGCATGAGCAGTTACTCAATATTTTTATAAGGAACACAGACAACTTGTGTAAGAGAGCAGACCCTGTAAAACAGGGCTTTACTATTTTAAAACAAACTCAAAATCCTTACAGAGTTAACATCTTTAAGTCTCTTTATGTTTTTTATAGGCAAACTTTAGACAATTCTCAGCTCTGTTTTATTTCAAATTGGCACCCAGCAAAAAACTTGCAGTGATTTTTTTCACTCTAATCTCTTCTTAATAGAAAGACTAACAAAGCTGAAACTGATATGTTGTAGGGCTAATGTTTCTGAAGATAAAAACAAGGTATAAATCTTAAGCTCACACAGCAATCACCTTGTGTTTTCCCTAGAGAACAGAGAGCATCACCTTAACTCTGAGATCTCCAAAAGGCTGCCAGCATTTTTAATCCATCATGTTTGGAAAAATGTTTAAGTCAGAGCAACTTTGCGATGCTCCACTGGACAGGACAAGAGACAAGAGACAACAGGACAAGAGAAGATACATTGAGGAACTGGCAACAGAGGCAGAAGAAGCAGCAGCAAGCAGAAATATGAAGAAGCTGTACAACACCACCAGGAAGGTTGCAGGAAAGGTTCGGCAGTCGGAGCGACCAGTCAAGGACTGATGGGCACAGACCGGCAGCTGAATCGATGGGCAGAGCACTTTGAAGAACTGATCAACAGACCACCGCCAAACAAACCACCTGACGTCCCGGGAGCAGCTCGAGACTTGCCAATCAACGTCAACAAGCCTACGAAAGCAGAGATCAGGAGGGTCATTACACAACTTAAGAACGGTAAAGCTCCTGGACCAGATGTGACCCCAGCTGAGGCACTAAAGGCAGACCCCGACTTCTCCGTTGACGTGCTGCACAGACTGTTAGAGAGGGTCTGGGAAGAGGAGCAGGTCCCTACAGACTGGAAGGAAGGACACCTAGTCAAGATTGCCAAAAAGGGAGACCTCAGCCGATGCAAGAACTACGGAGGCATCACCCTGCTGTTGATGCCCAGAAAGGTGCTCAATAGAGTCATTCTGGAGAAACTTAAAGGCCCAGTAGACCAGAAACTACGTGACAAGCAGGCAGGCTTCAGGCAGAACCGATCGTGCACCGACCAGATAACTACACTGAGGATCATTGTAGAGCAGTCCATCAAATGGAATTCTCCACTCTACGTCAACTTTGTGGCCTACAAAGCTGAGTTCGACTGTGTAGACAGAGAGACACTCTGGAAGCTGCTAAGGCACTATGTTATCCCGCAGAAGACTGTCAACCTCATCAAGAATTTGTACGAGGGAATGACATGCCAAGTGATGCACAAAGGCCAACTCACAAGAAGCTTCGAGATAAAGACGGGTTAGGCAAGGATGCCTTTTATCACCTGCCCTGTGCCTCATCGCGATCGACTGGGTGATGAAGCAGATGACAAGCCAGAAGAGGAACAGCTTCCAGTGGACCCCCTGGACACAGCTGGATGACCTGGATTTCGCAGATGACCTGGTGCTTTTCTCCCACAGCCTCCTGACAGTCTCAGCACAAGTGGGCCTGAGTATGCACAGGAGCAGGACCAATGTCCTGAAAGTCAACACTGACTGTGAAGAGCCAGTCAGACTTGATGGAGAACCCCTGGAAGAAGTGGACATCTTCACCTATCTTGGAAGCATGGTGGACAAGCAGGGAGGGAGAGATGCAGATGTCAAGGCCAGAATAGACAGGGACAGGGCAGCATTCATCCAGCTCAAGAGCATCTGGAACCTAAGAAACAGCTACTCTACTAAGATCTGTCTCTTAAACTCCAATGTCAAGTCAGTTTTGCTGTACAGAGCAGAGATGTGGAGAGCGAGCAAGACCACCATGAAGAAGATCCAGACTTTTGTCAACTGGTGCCTGCACAGTATCCTGTGAATACACTGGCCAGAGAGTATTCGTAACACTGACCTGTGGCAGAGAACGCAGCAGAGGCCTATGGAAGAAGAGATCCTGAGGAGACAGTGGGGATGGCTGGGACACACCCTATGAAAGCCGGCATCCAACATCACAAGACAGTCAGTGACAAGGAACCCCTAGAGCAAGAGAAAGAGAAGCAAGCCGAGAAACACCTGGAGATGAGATCTTGATGCTGATATCAAATGTTCAGGCCTGGGCTGGGGACAACTAGTGGTAGCAGCACGGGATAGGAGGCCTTGGAGGACTGTCGTCGATGGCCTATGCTCCAGGAGGGGCGATGGGCCTAAGTAAAGCAAGTCTGTGATTATTTATAAACGCCTCACACACATCAAAAATAGCTAACCTTGAGTATCTTCCCTTAGTAAGAACTTGCTTAGGTATGGTGCATTGCCTAATCTGAAATGGTTACATTTTTGAGTTTCTGACCAGCTAGTCATGGGTTTAATTTCCACAATATTTCTGAAATAAACCAATGAAAACTGCTGAAGAAATTAAATCTTTTGTTTTGTATTGCTAAAATATCGACTTAGCATACATGTTCATCGTGTTTTAGTTCATTTATTGAAGAATAGAAAGTAAAAGCTTGCAAATATTTCTTCAGGTCAGCACGACAACATATAAGCACAAAAATATAACTTATATTGTGACCCTAACACCTTTTCTAAGTGAGTTGTAAAGTATTAACTGACCAACAAAATGAAAAGTGAGTTGTCCATAAAAATATGGCTGCACCGTTTTTACATGTTACTTTGGTGTGTTGGCCCTTGTAAATATGGGCAGGTCTTGTGAAATACACAATTTAAATAAATTAATCACCATACCACTTTAAGAGGAAGTATAACTGTGTGAATAACCCATGATTCGGTAAACCTGGTAAATAAATAAATTAGTTTTCCCAACTGAGCATTTGTGTAGTGAGAGTGTCAGAAACAAGAAGGGTCAGTTGAAAATGAAATGTTCCAGTTGTCTTATGTACAGGATTTAAGCATGCAGACTAATTTCTCCATTATCCCTTCCTGTCCTTGCTAAACATTTGTTATCTAATTGACAGACATGAGTTGTCATGGTTAAAACAACACCTCCCTTAAATTCTAGGTTTATATAATTTGTATATATCTGGAGTTCTTAAATATTTGAACAGTCAGTCATTTTCTACCGCTTATTCTATAGTGGGTCACAGGGAAGCTGGTGCCCATCTCCAGCAGTCTATGGGTGAGAGGCAGGGTACACCCTGGACAGGTCGCCAGTCCATCGCAGGGCAACACACAAACAACCATGCACACACTCATTCATACACCTAAGGGCAATTTAGAGTGATCAATTAACCTAACAGGCATTTCATTGGACTGTGGGAGGAAGCCGCAGTACCCAGTGAGAACCCACGCATGCACAGGGAGAACATGCAAAGTCCATGCAGAAAGACCCCTGGCCAGGAATTGAACCCAGGACCTTCTTGCTGCAAGGCAACAGTGCTACCAACTGCGCCACCATGCAGCCCAATATTTGAACAACTTTTGCAATTTATCTTAGTCTTTGTTTAATAAATAAGTGCACATAAATGACAATGTTTTACTAATTAAACAGAAGATACCAATGAACATATTTTGTCTAGCTTAGGAAAAGGTTAGGATATGCTATAACTTCAGTAGGACCATTCTTGGAGGTGTCTAACATCAGTTCGAAGAAAGTTTGCTCCACTCCTCACTTTCAGCTAGGAGATGTTTGGGGGGGTTTCATGGGGCCTGCATCTCAACAAGATCAACAAACATCTGGGCTTTGAGTTATCCCAGGAATTCCCATTTTTAAATTCTCAACCAGTCC